GAACAGCGAAAAGCCCATGTCAGTTTGATGAACATCTTCCAACCCAAATTATGAAGAAGTCCGAAGCCCTTTTGCCGGTGTTTTACGTGTTCATGACCTATTCTGACGAAGCAGTCATTTTACTGGAGGACCGCGGGTCATTTAAGGAAGTCATTTGATCTCCTGGATTGGACATTCTTTCTGCACGTGTTTTCCAGCAATAACAGAAGATACCTTGAAGGTATTTAAAGTACTCAGCGCGAAAATGCTTCATGACTGTGCCGTAAACAAGCGGATTTAAACAACTGTGAAAAACAGCGAAAATCTCGGAAATATGGAGAAGCCTGAAGAGGATTTTTCCCTTTTCCTTGCCATTTTCTCCGAAGTAATAGTAGATAGAGGCCAGATGTTTCGGAAACATACAAATAGCGAATATTATCACAATTGTTGCTATGGTCCGCACAACCTGTGCGTTTTCTCGCCGTCGCGTCTGGCTCAGGGCTTTGGGCTGCTTTGAAAACTTACGGTGAAATTTAGATCTATTTATGGCCAGCCCAATGCGTATGTAGGCGACTGCTGTTATTGTCAATGGCAAGAGATACTGAACCATTAACATGAAAAATCGAAATACTACGTGAGCTTCCACTGAAGGCCAAGCTACGTGGCACATTCCCATTCGATTGACCTCAGCAAAAACCATTCCAGGCAGAATACAAACAAACGACATGATCCACAAACAGAAAATCCAGATGTAGACATTTCTTCGACTTATTTCGGAAGTGTAAGGATTAACAATCATCCTGGAGCGATGAATAGCCATAGATGTGATGATTAAGATGCTGGAGAGATACGAAATTGTGATCAATGGCCATATCAGCTTGCAAAATACTCTCGGTGCTTTAAAGTTTCCTACAGCATGGGCAAAAAACATAGGAAAATATGTCAGGAGAAGAATTAGATCAGATATTGCAAGATTGCAGATGAAGATGTCATGGCAGGTGCGAGAAGACCTTTTTCTGGCCAAAACTGTAATAACGAAAGAGTTCCCAAACAACCCAAGGACAAAAATACTCGAGTAAAGAGCTGTCTTCACCTCTGGTGGAATGAAAACTGGATTGGAGGTTGACGAGGTGTTGGTAATATTCATGACTTAATGAAATAATCCACTTGCTTTACGACATTCGTCACTCTACTGTAGAATGCTGTAGTCACCAAATTCCATAAAACTGGCCCTTCATGCTTTGATAAAATTACGTTTATACACCTTTGAGAGTTATTTATTGAGATCAATTGGGTTTTTTCTTATATTTATTGCTGTCACAATCCCTGACGGGCTGCTTCTTGGTTTCACGAAGAGATTCTGAAAAGAAATACATTACACCACTCATTATCTGGTTACTATGTAGTTTGGGCAATAGCCACCCCACGGAGACGGAATTCATCATATAAGTATTCGCTACGGTATCTTTCTTGGAAGAATCAGTAGAGTCCACTGCAAACATCAAGACCACGAAGAACTTTCAACTAAACTACAAATTCACTCCCTTTGCCTCACTGAACGACCAAAGTTTCCTGAATGACTATATTTATCAGAGAACTTTATTGTGGCGGCACTCATGCAGTTAAAATAAGCGACTCTAGAGAAACCGAAGTAGGTGAATTTTAAAAGCTATATAATTCACATGATTAACCAAACGTAATGGAAGTTAGAAACAATGCAATCTACAAAAAAAGTTAACTGTTTCAGCTTTTTCGATCTACTTATCCTAACTCACCTGTACTAATGTTTTCTCCTTTTTACCCTGCGGTGCTTATGCTTCTAAGCCGATGAAAGTTTGAGCAAATAAACGAGAAGCTGGTAATCCCAAGCAACCTTTTTTTTAAAATGCAAATGAAGGATCTAATTTTCTCTAATTGAAGAGAGAAGTCCGTAATTTTCACCTACAAGAGCCCTGTTTGTCATTTCTGGAGAAAAGGACGTGTAATTCTATATTTTGATTGGTTTGTCGACCATACCAGGTGACAACCAAAATAAAGCTGGCGATTTGTATCACCTCGCCGTGGGACATGAAATTAGAAAGGCAAGAATGGGTTATGCCGGCTTGTGCCAGAAATTCATCTAGCATACCAAAAAATTATCTACCGTTTACACTCATGGTTGCACTCTCTAAATCAATACTAAACGACGCTTCTGTTTCTCTTTTTGACTTGCTTATTCATTGAAATAAGACAAAACATGGTGTAATTTCTAGTTGTCGACCTTAAAATATTATAACAAAATTGATTTTCATTATTTATTGAGCGGCAGGCATTCATGTTGGCACAACTGGTAGCCTATATATACAGTTGAACGGCGGTGTATTACGACTGACTTTGCTCTGCTTAGATAATTAAACGATCTATCAAATGCGTTACTCCCTAAAGCAAAATGATATAATTCTGCAAAGTATTGTTGCCTCAAAACAATAAAGAGAAAAAATGGACAACATCTTAAACAGCTTTTGGGATAAGTACCACTTAAAACGTTTATCTTCGTGTGTATATACTCACTTGCAAACACAAACAGAATACCAGGAGTAAGCTCTTAATTGAAATGGGAGGAGCAGTAACTCGCTATCAAAGAATGTGATAATCTTACTAAAGAACGCAGTTTATTCGGAGGACACAAACGGTACCCCTTAGCTGATTTCAGAGCACAGAGAACTATATTACAGTCAAGAACTTAAGAAAAAAAGGGGTATTTATCGATTCTGAAGGGAAGACCACTGCACAAAAGCAAATAGCAAGAGTACAAAAAACTGAAGCAGCCGATAACATCGAGCTACCGCCAAACAGATCAGTAACCAGTTTCCCGCAGGTTTGTACCAGTCACGGCCACAGCCCGTGTTCTTTATTCTTTCCTGGGTATCAAAAGAAGCAAGCGTTATCATAATTCTTACATTCCTGGGGCGAGTGTGCGATATGAGCGGATAGATCCTTCCGCTCATGGGGTGGACAAATGTTGCAGCCAAGTGAGAGGCCTGGAAGTAAAATAGCTCGAAGTCAAGAAGTAGCTCCACCAACATGGAAATGAAATCACCAAAAATGAATTGTTTCATTTTCTTTATCAAACTATTATGATTCAGAATTCTACGTCGAAAAAGGTGATTAGAAAAGCACAAGCTCGTGCGCGCAAAGTTGTGCGGAGGGTGACTCAAAATAATGATAATAAAAATTCAAAGTTTCTGCGATTAAAGCAGGATTTTCTATTCTTCTGTTTCTCGTTTAATCATTTAATTGGCCAAAACTGAAGAGGACCATCCTACTTAACGTAATTATCGAAACTGACCAATCACAACTGACGTAAGCCACCTAAGTCTTTCGGCCAGTAACCAATTAACTCTCAAGAACCTGACTTTTAAAATTCGACTGACCACTCACAACTCATTCAGGTTGTGGAAACGTCAATTACTCCGCCGTCAACGACGAAAAGTTCATCAGTGCAAGGGCCCTTTGGTGTAGTTCATATCTTACCCTATGCCATTGACAGAGTAACATATTTACAAACCACCTGTATCAACATCCAGGTTGTCCTTCGCTCAAAAAAAAGTCAACGCCATATTTGCAACGTAAAGACCATAAACTACTCGTACATGAAAATTTTATGAAATATACTGAATCTGACTATACTTGCTTCCTTTAGCTTAGTCTAATATTTAATCGACTAGGACGCGACAATTCGGAAGGGACGATGTTTCTTTCACTGAATTAATCGAGTATTAAATCTGATCGCACCGTGGAGACTTCGGCCTCCCTCTAACGGCTTTTTGGTTGTCATCACAGGAGTCTTCATAAACCAGATTTCAAGGAAACCCATCAAATCTTCTTACCCTAAAAATTAGTTCAACGAAGACACATTCGCATAAATATACATGAATAAGGGTTTTTTTTCGCTGAGTCCGTCTTTTGGTCGAGGGTCTAGGGTACCAGGTCGAGGTTCAGTAGTGATATGGACATGTCGGGGGTTGATTTCTATTAATAATTGATTTAAATTTATAATCAGGTTTTATTATTAATTATTTTTATTGCAAATATAACCATGTCTAACAAACAATCTAAAGCATTAACGGATTATTCAGAGATAACCTTGAGGGGTAAAAAAACACACAGATGTGAAGATTGTGCTATTAGAAAGTCGAACCAAAATTTTTCATGCAAATAAAGCACTTAAAATAGCGTGTATATTTGGTAAACACTTAATCACCGGATAGCAATTTTTCCGATAAATAGTACCATCTAGCCTTTGAACAACTGAGGCCTGGCGGATAGCACAAGCTTTAATTTTTCTTCCAAGTTTTGTCGGTCATTTTATTATCATTTCAGCTATGACTAAACAGAAAAAAGTATATTTAAAGCCCGTGAAAAATAATAACTATGGCTTAATTCACATCATATTTTGCTATTTTGATAGAGGGATCACTTTAACGCGAATGACTACGACAAAAATTGAAGTTTTGTTACTTCGCTTTCAGTTAGTGCATTTAGTGCAAAACGTTTGTACTCATTGCGAGGCCCTTCTGTATTTTGTCTTGGAATGAATGGTGCTAAAAAGAAAAATCGTGCGCGCTAAAAACCCGTGCATTTAGACGAGCCATTCAGGCAAGAGCTCAATGACCCACGACGAACGACTACGACAAAAATTGAAGTTTTGTTACTTCCCTTTCAGTTTTTGCATTTTTTGCAAAACTTTTGTACTCTTTGTGTGACTCCCAACAAAGTCAGATTTCAACACGCGAACGCTTTAAGATTTATTTGCATTTGTTGCTAAAAAGAAACAAGTAATTACAAATTATTACGAGGGAGAAGGAATAGGAAAACGCAAAACAACAGAGGAAATACAATTGGACAAGGAAAGACACTTACAATCGTTGTGTGACTTGCGAGCACGAAGAACAGAAAAACTAAAAGATGATCGCAGCGAAGGAATCGATGTTAACCTGATGCACTCTGATACTCCTATGTTCAATTGTTTTTCTGAGAAACTTTTACGAAAG